CGGGTCCTGGTGAGCAATCCATGCCCTTGGACGAAGTCCGATCCGCACTGCCTGGCCGATGCAAATGGCCAGCTGCATCTCGGCTTTGAAGAAATGTGCCACCATGCGGTGCCAGTTCTGCAGCCATGCTGGAGGAAGCACAGCCGCGGTCCTCTTCTCTGGGTAGCTGGGCATCCGCGACACAAGAGCGAATTGAAGGCTGAGCGCTTGTGCACAAAAACTCGCGGTCATGTGAGCCATCATCACAAAGTTCACTGAGCTGCTTCCAGGCACGATGCATGCGGGTGTTGCAATCAAAGTGCATGACATTGAAAACCAAATGACCATTCACCTTCATGATGGGAACCCAAACATTCAAGGCTGCCAAAAAACGCAAAAAAGCTCTCTGTTGGGGAAGATCCAAAGTGGTTTTGAGCTTGTTCTCCAAGAGGTCGTTCGACCCCAACAAAGGAATGTCGTTTGTGGACTTGATGATACTGGTGCCCAAAAGACATGGTGAACCGCCAACGACAAAAACAGCTGGGAGCAAGACGTGGTGTGAGCTGTATTGAAGAGGTCCGCGCCCAAACTCGAAGGGCTCCTGGCACGGTGTCAGCTTGGCCATCATGCGATGCTCTGCTGCTTTCGTGCTCCATGCATCAAACCAAGCACTGCTGCAACATGTTCTTTGGCATGCAGTATCTAAAACCAGATATGAAGCCAACTGCTCAATGTTCGTGATATAGATCTGGTGGATGTGCACTTCAGGAACCTTCACCATGTAACTAAAGTAGGCGCCGTTCTTGGGGGGCTCCTCGAAGGTTCCTGATCGTGCACTTCCATCGTGTGAACGGACTGTGAGCACCTTTTTGCCAGACTTGCCATCGGACTTGCCCTTGCCTTTGGAGCCATCTTTGCTGCTGCTGGAGGAAGGGACACTGCACTCAGGGTCACCTTTCCAGTGGCCTTTTTCGCCGCAGGCGGCACAGTGGCTCTGCTTTCTCTGTTGGAGAGATTTGGGGTTGCGTCCAAACTTCCTGCCAAGCCGCAAACCATTCAGGCGTCGTGCCGTGACTGTCAGGCACTGAGCAGCTATGGCAAGGTCTTGTTCGTCAAGATCTAGCTCCTCGTCATCGGGCGTGGTCTCAGGCTCGTTGGCATCGTTGGGGTCCTCTTGGACCTCCTAAAACTCTTCTACATCAGGCTCTGTGGCAGCTTCCAATTCTTCTTGAGGTTCACCATCCCCTTCAGGGATACCAGCAAGAAAGGCCGTTTTGGCCGGTGGGTTGCTGCTCTTGACAAAGCCCTTGCCCTTGCTCTTGCCTTTGTTGTGGGAGTAGTAGGGCTTCAGAGAATTCTGCTGAGCTTGTTGTTGTCCGTCTCGCGGAGGAAACTGTTTCGGCTGAGGTCCTGCATCAAATTCACGGGAGGTGACAACGAAGGGTGTTGGTCTATGCTCGGGGAACTGAAGGCATGCTGAATCTCGGATTGCCTCGAAGTGGAGGCTCTGAAGTGAGCCGACTAAAATGAGCCGTTGTTGGTCTGCAGCCAAACGAAGCCTGTCCAACATGCGGGTCCCGCGTGCTTCGCTGTCGTACATGGCCGTCACGTCTATGTTGACGGCCTGGAGCTGTCGCTCTGACCTCCTGTATCTGTTGATAAATGTCTTGATTGTTTCCCCTTGCTGCCGGTAGATGTTTTCGTAATCGTATAGATATCTACGTTTGATGTAGACATCTCTGGTCTCCATGGGCTTTCGCAGGCTCTCGACAATGAAGTCAATGCCTGAATCACTGTTGATCTTGCTGACATCTGCCCATTCGAGTTCTTCTTTGAGGTCACCTCGAAGAGAAGCGTACAGCAACATTGCTGCGTCGGAAGGAGGGAGGTAGCTGGCGACTTGGATTCGCCATATTGAGAGCTTGCGCTCCCACTTCTGGAACGCCGTCAGGTCCGACTGGGCATAGTTCCAGGGTGGCGGCGCTGGAGGCTGGCCGCCGCGGTATTTGATGCCCGGAGCTGGCCCTTTCTGTATGCTCCAGTCACTGTTCTTGTCCTTGTTGATGACTTGGTGGATGCCCTTCAGCATATCGTCTCTCCACTGAGCTGAAGGTCGTCGCTCGTCAGCTGTTTGGCCACAGTCTTTCTCTTGCCCTTGCCCTTCTCGACAACGGTGCCTTTGCCTTTCTCGGCACCGCTGCTCTTGCCTTTTCCATGTCCTGCAGGTACTGGAGAAGGCCGAAGTGCTGTAGGGCTAAGAGGTGCTCTGCCACGAGCTGGTACGATAGGAGTTGCAGGTACGGAAGAGGTGCAGGTACTGTAGGGCTTCCTGAAACTGAGGCATGGAGAGGTACTTTTGAGGGAGGAAGATGTCCATCTCGCTTCGACACTTTCCGCATTCTCCGACTCAGCTTAGGGACCGGTTGCAGTGTTTCCGGATCCACGGTTGGGTCGTCGGTCAACTGCTCTGACTCTGCTGTCTCCTTGCCTTCATGCGCTTCTTGGGCTCGTCCTGGATCATGCCGTGCTCTGTTCCTCACAGGTGGCAAGTCGACAGGCCGAGGAGGTGTGTGTGGTGGTGTCACGGTTCGAGGGTCCGTCTCATTGTAGGGGACGTACATCCAGGAACCATGTGAGGTCGACTGGTGCATCGGCTCGTTCACGTTGTAGAACCTTTCGTTGCCACAGTCTTGACAAACAAAGGGCCAGGGGGTGGTCACCAGCATTGGAAACAGAGGTCTCCAGTTGGGACTATCACAACGGAGGCATCGCCACTCATCAGTGGGCTCATCCGGTGAGGGTTCATGAAGTGACGGCATGCGGTCGGCGCTACTGTCACCGTCCTCGTCATCGTCACCCAAAGCTGGTTGAAGGAGTCCATGGGAGTCTGCTGCATCGAAGCTCCAGTCGTGCTCTATCTCGTCGAAGCCATCGGAAGCAAGGTCCTCGTCGTCCTCCATGGGCCTGGCACGGCCTATTGCAAGGAACGGTGCACGCGTAGGCTCCGCGCCACCAACTGATCACGATTCGTGCTGCGATGAATCGTGTCTTCTCGAAGGTCGAAAAACGTGAGAAAAGGCCGCGGTTCCTTTTTTGAGACTGCATGGCTCAGCGATCGACTTCGGGGAGAAACGTGGGGCGGTTTGTGCCCAGACATCATGGTGGGTGATCAAGGTGCTAGGACTGCATCTCTCACACAAAGAACGTTCCATTTTGACACATGTTGTCTGTTCTCTGTGCGTGCAACTCGTCCAACTGAAAAAGCATATGCATCTGCAAGAGTCAACAGAAAACAAAACGAGGTCACAGTGTTGTGTTGTGTGTTTCTTTATCACAACATGCGTTATGTGATGTTATTTGTTATTTCACCATTGGAGCAACAGACTTTCCGATGTCAACTTGTCTTTGAGAAAATCTGCTGCTGAAATTCACCCGGAGCAAAGCTCCTTGGGCTCAGTGGTAACTCAGCTCCTTTGGGCTTTCAGGTGTTGACAAGGACGTCTGCTTCGATGTTTTTCACCCCT